GAACTGAGGGAAACTCTGATGTGGCAACGGTAAACAGAGATAGCAGGAAGGTGAGAAACTGAGGAGACAGGAAACCTGGCAAGGAAAGCGAGACACCGGCTCTGAGGAGGATGAAGGAAGCTGAAAAGGGAGGGGGAAGAATGAGAGAAGTTCTCGGGGTGGGGGGACTAGGCTGGGACTTGGTTCAGTCGACAGGGAGGATTCAGAGGAGGGAATAAACAAGTCCTCTCTCCAGTCTGTACGGCTGCCAGGAGACATGAGGAAGCAAATGGGTGGCCCATATGTCCTCATCACTCTGCCCCTTCTGTGCTTAATTCAGCGCGGGGCGAAAGAGGCATGGCACTTCAGCTGCCCCCTCAGCATTGCCATGCTACTCCTGCCCTTTGCCTTGGGCCTGCCCCCCACCTCTGCCCCCGCTCCCCACAGGAGCCTCCTGCTTGCTGTGCAGAGCAGGGAAGAGAGAGGAAGAGGAACTGTATTATATCTCCACAGAACAGGCGTCAGGGGTGCCATAACAGAGCTTGGACCAGTCTCAGACCTTCCCTTTTCTGGTAAGATTGTGGAAAATGTTTGTGTCAAGACATCTCTGCCAATATCTAGATGTCTTTGATCTTGTTGACCACAGTTGGTCTGGCCATAGACCTTGTTTTGACTCAGAAATGGTTTGCAATGATATCCCTCTGGATGAAGAGAAGGGTATCTATCCCCTACTGATGGATACATCATCTGCCTGTGATAGTGAAGTATTGTTGACTTTCCTGTATACCCTGAGGGAAGCAGATTTGTTTTTTTCTTAGAGCAATCAATTGGTAACTGTGGGCAATTGTTTCTCTTCCTAGAACTCTCAAGCCTGGGTCCTTTAGGAAGCCAAACTACCACCCTTTCTGTTCAACATGTATATGGGGAAGAGGCACAAAAGAGGCGGGGCAAAGGGATTTGGGTGTGAGGTGGATCCTGGATTGCATTTAAATTCAAAAAGTGATCTCGTGCTTAAAAAGGTTGGAGACCCCTGACTTGAGGGAAGTTGGCACAAGCTCTTTAGTCCTTTACTCACCCTCCTAAATATAGCGTGAAGCACAAAGGTGAAGAAAGCTATGGGGACCGCCGAGGGCAGGGGGGCATGGCTGGAAATACTGCCGCTGTAACTAAACCCTCTGATCAGCAGCAGCAGCAGCAGTCCAGTTAAAGAAGATTCTGCATTCCCGTTATAAATCCCTTAGGTGACGGGCTTGTAAATGACACGGCTATGAATACTGACTTCAGATTGATAGTCCGCATGTTCTCAGCACAGGAGCACTTGCTAGTCAATTCCCCTTCCCCCTCATATTGTTTTAACGGGTTTGATTTGCAATTAGCCAACAGCACAGACTGATGGTTTTGATATTTTTGAGAGTTCTGTTAATTCCAGCGGGCCCGGTCCTCGGCGGGTGCAGCTCCCCTAATGTGTGTGACACCTGCCAGGCCCTCTGGTTTGGAAACCAGCAGCTGCAGCTGATGGTGCTGGCTCAGTGGTGCCCCTCAAAGCCCCGCTTGGACTACGTCCTGGTAGTGGAACAGAGCCAGTGAAAGCACTGCTCACCCTCCACCCACTTCACACATACTGGCTTTTCTCAGATGAACTGCAGAAATGGGGAGGCTGGAGGCATGTGGCTGAGCTGGATAAAGCTGCCAACACTGTATTTCACAAACAAGGGCCTGTTTCCTTAGCACATCTGCTCCACCCCGCCTCCCAATATTAGAATTGATCAGGGTGGATATAAGGCAATGATGCTTTAAAAAAATTAAAAATCAGATTTTTTATTTAAAGTAGATTTTTAATTGAAATTGGATTTTCTTTTTCTTTTTTTAAAATCATCAATACATTACTAAATTTCTCCTTTCAAAATAACAGTGACAACTAAATCTCACCACACACGTGCTACACCTACAGCCTGATGAAAAATGCACTAACTGGCTCCAGTCTGCCCACCCTAAATACCAGCTCTTGCTTCTCGAAAGTTCTGGGCTTCCAATTTCTGTTTCTCAACAGACTAAAGTAATATGTGCAAAGACACACACAGGCTGGACAGGATTGTTTTTGTTGTGTGCTTATGTGGTGGCGGCCCTGGGCCAAGCCCGGCAGAGGAGTTAGTTAAGACATTGTCTTAAGACAAAGAGACAATACATAGGAAGGGACGGAGGCAGCATAGCAAGGAACAGTGGCATGGACTGGAAAGAAAAAGGAAAGACATTCAGCACACACACAGCTTCCTACATCCCCCCACGCTTCTGCCACAGAAAAACTGTCCTGACTTCTGGGCATAAAAGAAACCCCATCTGGGAATATTTTGAAGAAAGTTGTTCCCTGGGTAAAAAAAAGAAATGGTTTCAACTGTAAGCAATGCAACAAGAAGTCGCAGAGCCTAGTTGCAAGAATGAAGGAAAACTGCTTATTGGAAGAAAATGACGTGGATATGGCCGAGTGGATAAACTGTTTAGTAACTTAAATCATTCATTTTGCAATGCATCATTCTTCAAGACTCTCTCTAAAGCCAGGTCTGCACTGGGGGAGAAATTCGACTTAAGGTTCACAACTCCAAATATGAGAATAGTGCAGCTGGAGCTGACGTACCTTAAACTGAATGTCTGTGGCAGCCCCACTATGGGAGGTCCATGTGAGAAACTCTCCCGTCGACTTCCCTTACTCCCCATGACCCTCTGAAATACTGGAATAATGGCGACATCACCAACAATCAATTTAGTGGGTCCTTACTGGACTTGCTAAATCGACCACCGGAAGATTGATCTCTGGAGTGTTAATCCCCAGGAAAGTATAGACAAGGTCTAAGTGTGATTTGACAAGTAAATTCCCAAGCTGTTTGCTGTGGTGGATGTTGCTAGAAAAAAAATTGGCTAGCCTCGCTCATCCTTGTGGCTGGTTTAAATAGTTAACTAGGTTCAGAATCTGTCATCCTAATCTACAGAACAGATAGCTGCAGTAAGAGGAATTTTGAGTTGCCAGTTGCTGAGTGTCATTTTTTAAATGTTATATGACATAATATATGCCTCTTATTTTGCGGGATCATGGCCAAACAGTAATGGTGAAGCCTTAAGTCTATTTCCTCTTTTACTTCATCATAGCTCAGCTTTTCTTAGAGAACCTCATTCTATACTTTTCTCAAAAAAAAAAATACCATTGAGTAAACTGGGGCTCACTCCAATTAAGATTAAAATTAAGAAACAACGAACTGTCCTGTAGCACGAGACTAACAAAACATGCAGATGACATTATGAGCTTTCACGGGCACAGCCCACTTCTTCAGATGGCTGGAGTTTAAAGGGTTCAGTTTTCAAATAAATAGCACAAAGAGGGGATGCGGGGAGAGAAGGGGAAAAAAAGGTGGGAAAGAAATTGTCAATTAGAGCATCCATGCTAAATGAAGCACTGTGTTGGCCATATGGAGTAGAAATCCATCAGCCACACAAGGAAACTCACACAGATCCAAACAAACATCATTTTCCTATCCAAGTGCACAGCTTCATTTGGCATGGACACGCTAATTGACAATTTCTTTCCCCTTCCCTCCTCCCTTCTTTTTCTTCTCTCCCCCCATCCCCTTTCTCTGCTATTTATTTGTCAACCCGGGCCCCTTAAACTCCAGTCATCTAAAGAAGTGGGTTGTGCCCATGAAAGCTCATAACACCATCTACAGGTTTTGTTAGTCTTTAAGGTGCTGCAGGACCATTCATTGTTTTGTAAATTTTTCCAGTTACAGACAAACAAGGCTACCCCTCTGCAAATCTAAAGTTAAGGGCACTGTATGCACAATCAGTCTTACCTTTTTTGGTAACTTGATTTAAATATTTTATTTTTTTTGGTGAATGACATCATGCTTTAAATCCATTATTTAAATCTCCTTGGTTTAAATCAATCCACCCGGTTATTGATTTATTTTACTATGCAGCTGCACTCTACATTTGCCAGAGTATGTCTTGCTGCTTTTTGCACCACTCAGCAACTCCTGATTTTGTTGTGTAGAGAGGAAGAAAAAAGGGATGTTCCTTCTCACCAGGAGTTGTTGGCAGCAGAGTAGCTGGACCAGAAAGAAGCTGTCTGGCCACGTGCAAAAGGTTTCAAAATGACCTTACTCTCCAGAGTGCCCAATGGCTCAGCATTAAACATCCTAGCTGCCATCTAATGACCGTCTGGAGACTTTAAGATCCAAAAGGGGTTTAAATGTTTGTTTGGGTAGGAGTCTGAGCTCCACAGGAAATGACACTGTAATTCAGCCTCTGGCAAAGCCTACAAAAGTCTCTTCTTGTCCACATCACTGCATTTTGGAAGGAGGTCACAGCCGATTCCTCCCTCCTCCCTGAAATAATGTCTCCTCTTAGACCTCTGTCAGCATGAATTGCCTCTTCCCCCACTGCAGGCTTTCTGTAGAACATGTATTCTACATGATTTAAAGTGAAGGGACAGAAATGCTGGATTTATACCAACACCAAGACGAATGTATTGAGCCTATACGTGAAGGGGGTAGGGCGGTAGAGGAAATTCTTCTGCAAGGGGACACAATGGAATTAAGAAGCGACAATGATGGGTCCCGATTCTGCAAATTCTTGCTCTTCACTTGCTGTTACTCATGTGAGTAATCTTTCAAATAAGGTTACTCATAGGAACTAATTTTGTAGAATCAAGACCTTACACACAATTGTATAAAAGCCACTCTTTGCGCCAGGGATCTCCAACCTTTGTAAGCACAAGGGCACTTTCTGAATTTAAGTCAATCCAAGATCTACCTTGCACCCAAATACCCTTGTTCCACCTCCTTTCCCATCCGTTCTTTGAGGCTCTGTCCCAACCCTTCTCATCTGCACGGTCTCGCCCTGCTCACTCTGTGGAGATGGGGTACACCAGTGGGTACACCTCTTGTGCCTCCCCACCCTGCACACAAGCAGGAAGCTCTCAGGGGGCAACTCTAAGGCAGAGGGTAGGAGCAGCAGGGCAGTAGGCTCCAAGATCTACTGGTTCGTGACCACTGCTTTACACAATGCCCTGTGAATCTATGGAACTCACTGCTACAGGATGATTGCTACTATACTGTAGTAATGCATAGAGGCCCACTTTAGATACATTAGTCAAGACACTGCATGAATATGACAGATGGCCCCTGCCCAGAGAGCTGACACACTAAATAAGTATAACTACTCAGTCTTATGCTGAATGTTTCAAATGAGGGTTAGATATGAACAAGGCTGACACCGGCTAGGATAAGACATGGTTAAGGACTTTTAGTCCTCAGAACTGCCTGCCCACCATGGCCAAAGTGAAGTGTCCTGCTATGGTACAGAATACAAACTTAACTGCATGGGGGTAGGAGGCTGTACCTTTGCTGGATGGACTGTTCCAGTAATGGTACATGCCCGTCTGTGGCAAACCCCCTGAGTGGATGGACCTATTCCAGCAAGGAGATAGCTGTGTCCCTAGGATCAATTTAGCACAGCGTTGTCTGTATATTCCCTTTTAGCTCCTGAATGGACACAGACAAGAACAAGTTTGCCTGCGATCCACTAACCCACTTACCTCTCCCTTCTTGACTGGGTTATCCTCAGACATTCAGTATTCAGGTCCATAGACAGACCACCAGATGTTTTACAATGGGCCCCAAAACTTTTGTATTTGTATCATCATCATCTCTGGAGTCTGGATCTTGACTATATCTTGATCAAGATATTTGGATTTCGGCCAAAAAAAATGCATCCAGGCTCCTTGGTAGCCCATTTTGAGAGAATCAACAGGCAGGATTCATCTATGAAAGGAGGCTACTTATCTCTGGTATACAATGGCTTTGATTAGTAGGTAGCTTTGCAAGGTCCTTGCCTGAAGTTTTGCTCACAGATTTTTGGCTCTACAGTCCCATTATAGCACAGCCCTGGCTGTGACCCTAGGTAATGCCAACTAGTGTCCTCTTCCTAAGGAGTCTGGGTAAGCTCTCCCCATCCCACACAATGAGACTTAGATGCTATAGCAATTACAGATGAATGTCTGGATCGGTGTTTCCCAATTGGTGCTCCGTGGAACCCCAGGGTTCTGCTAAGTGAAAGTAAGGGTTCCGCGAGAACGCGGCATTGCCCCACCCCCTCTTAAAGAGACAGAGTATTTTGCAGGTTTTTTTGCTCAACCAATTCTGGCGGGGCTTTTTTTTTTTTTTTTTTTTTTTTTTTTCCTTGAAATTATTTTAAGCTGAAAAGGGTTCCGTGGCCAAATAAAATCAGGAAACACTGGTCTAGCTCTCTGGGTTCCCCTGGTTCCTCCCAGCACCCACCCCCCTCTTAGAGGGCAATGACTCTAACCAGCCTTCCGGCCACTAGAACAAAGAGGCTGCCTCCCTCTCTCCTAGTCCACACCCACAGTGGGACTGATGACCCAACATCCCCATGCCCTGCTAGGTAACGCAGCACTAAGCTCAGACCAGTCAGGGCCAGTCACTGGAGGACTCTCCTCGCACCCCCAGCATCCCAGAAAGGGGCAAATCTGACCCCACCTTGCAGCTTTGCGGGGAGAACATCTGGGGCGGAACACAGCAATGGGGAAGGAGGAAAGGACTCTGCTCCAAAGGGACCATGTGCAAATTCATTTCAGAATGAGGGGAAATCGGAATCCCCTCCCCAAATTTCTCTCGCGCGGACAGGACCAAGGGCTATTGTCTTGCCACAGACTCAGTGACGCCCAGTTCCTAACAGCCCTCCCCAAGATTAACCCCTCCCCTGCTGTCATGTCGGGGTGGAAGCGCTTTGTTGTTTTTTAGCATCACTTTGTGTGTGTGTGTGTGGGGGGGCTTACACCTGCTTGCACTGATATATTGCTTTATTAGCACAATGCATTTCACCCCTCCTCTCACTTCTTAAAGGGCCTTGCTTACTTTCCAAATTGGTCTATTAGTTGTATCCATTTCCCACAGCTCTTTTTTTTTTACTGCTTAATTTTGCATGCACTTTCTGCCTGCCTTCCTAGTTTGCCCTGCTTCGTGTATGTCCGCGTGTTTAAACATTTTGCATTGGGGTATCGCTTTTCCGCATTCTGTGCATGCACATTTTTTTTCGCACTGCCTTCTTGCTAGTCAGCATTGTTTTATTTCTGCACCCCTTGCCAATGTGGTCAGCATTTTGCATGCATGCATTTCTCTCCCCCCCCCCCCCCCCCCCCCCCCTTCCCTGGCCTTTCCTCT